GTAACCATAAGGTAACCCTATCATGTTTTTTTTTGGCAAGATTTGTTCAGAGGAGGTTTGCCATTGCCTTCCTCTGAGGCTGAAAGCATGCGACTTGCCCAAGGTCACCCAGTGGGTTTCATGACTGAGCAAGGTTCACCTTAGGGTTGCCATAAGTTGGAAATAACTTGACTGCACCCAACACCAACACCAATAGGATTCCTCGGAGGCATGCGAGGAAGCAGACCAAGTCTGGGCAAGTTTATCCTACAATATTTTTCACAGTTAGTCCCAAAGATGCTACAAGATCCCTTTGCATATAGCATTCTTCCCTGTGTGCTGCTTTCTTTTTAACTCCATGAATTATTACATTTTATCATCTGAAAGGTCCTCCACCTCATTTTGTTACAAGCGTAGATAAAGCCTAAAATGGGGGACTCCTATTTGCATTAAACGTATAGATGAACCCTTGGGCAAAGGAAGGACAAGGATGGGTCTCATGCCAAAAAGCATGAGGGAGGTAACAGTCCTACAGACTTCTTTCACAACTATTATAAAAAAATTGGAAGCAGTACGTCTTCCAAATAAACATGTATAGGCACAATCATTTTCCTGCACCCTCTTTACCCAAAGGGGATCAGGCACCACTTTGGGCACAGAGATGTAATCAAAGCTAATAAGAAAAGGCAAAGGGAGGGGAGAAAGATAAAGAACATTTTAAAGTTGAGCCATCCCTCTTCTGCTCAAGTCCAGTCAGAGGTATTCCTTTCATTATTTAACTGCATAGAGGAGTTTCCCAATTAACTTTTAATCCACTGAAAACTCAAGTTTATAAATGGAAATGCTGACAGAGCCTTCAAATATACTGTTACCAGCAGGCGCCATTCTAATTATTTTAAAAGGCGTCTCACCTTTCATCACTCCACTTGTTCCCAAAAGGCCAGATTTAAAGGGGTAGCCAGAAAAGCACTACAAGATAAGATGCTTTTTGTGTGAACAAATGGCACGCAACTGCCTCTGGTCTGGGACATGGTAACAGCATCATCATCATACACTGTACATCCTTCACGGTTCAAAGAAGCAGAGGAAAAAAGCCACTAGTTGGCTTTATTCTGGAACTAGGAAATGCGGCACATTATAATTTTTTGTTGTTGTGTGCTTCCAAATCATTTCCGACTTATGACAACCATAAGATGAATCTAGCATGGGGTTTTCTTGGCAAGATTTGTTTAGAGGAGGTTTGCCATTGGCTTCTCCTGAAGCTGAGAGCATGTGACTTGCCCAAGGTCACCGAATAGGTTTCATGGCTCAACAGGAATTCGAACCCTGGTTTCCAGATTCATAGTCCAACGCTCAAAAGTACTATGCCAGTCCGGCTCTCTCTAGATTATAGATATGAGGAAGAAAATAAACTCATCAGAAATGTGATGCTGGAGAACAGCTCTACAGATATACCAAGGCCCACAAAGAAGACAAATAAATGGATCTGAAAGCAAATCTGACCTGAACTCTCACTAGAAACCAAAATGACAAAACAAAAGCTGTTGTGCTTTGGGCATATCATGAAAAGATGTGACTCACTGAAAAAGATGATAATGCTTTGTAAAATGGAAGGCAGTCAGAAAACAGGAAAATCACACTACAGATGCATTGATTTAGTCAAGGAAGCATCATTCTGAGTTTGCAAGAACTAAGCAGGGTAGCTGATGACCAGACCAGGGTTTTCAAAGGTCTCTCATCCGTCATCAGTCAAAGTCACCTTGATGACAAATAACAATAACAGGCTCTTTTTGGATATCCCAAATTCTCTAAATTTTTGAGATGAAATGATGTTATCTGTAATTCACATTTGAAAATATGATTTTCTGAGTGGACTGTGATCCTGTTTGTCTATCAAAATGTGCTCCTTGGTGTGCCAAATTACCCATTCAAGTGCCTCGTCCTTTTTATAAAATTAGTATTACCAACTTGATAAGGCACCACAATTCAAAAAGGATGTTGAAAAAC